TGTGAAATGTATAACGTCTACATCGGCCGGAGTACTTATTTCTGGTGGACGAGATGAACATGTCAGATTTTGGACGAAAAGGTCAGTTCCAGGTCTCCATTGTGGTATTAGTATCCATACTGTTTAATGGCTCATTTCAGAGGTGGGGAGTTTTCAGAAACTCTCTCATTCCCTCAACCGAAAGGATTAGCGGTAAATTCAATAGGTTATTATGAATCTACTGATGGTTGGCGATTATTTGCTGGCCGAAAAGATGGTTCCATAGCCGTGTACGGGTCAGGATCTAGTGAACCGTTGACTGTACTTACCCAACATTCCTCGAACGGTAGGCTACCTAATACTGCTTAAGTCATAACAATCCCTTTTCATTTATATCTCCTTGTTTAAAGAATTATTCGACTTATTCAGTGTGTTGCCTCTATGTTGATGAGAAGAATCATATTCTTCTTAGTGGATCATGGGACAACAATGTTATTGTTTGGCCAATCAAGGAACTTGGTAGCCCAGAATTTCCTGTAGGTCTTTGTTTTTTGTGATTATGGCGATTCTGTACATATTTTGTTCCTATCGCCGCATTTGCATTTGCTTTTTTTTAAATTCGTAACAATATCGACTCATTAAGAAGGTACTACGTCTGAATTGTATACCCTAAAATTCCATAGATAAGAGCGGGTGAACCTACAGTTTTTCCAATTCATTTTTCACCGGTAGTGTCAACCGCTCTTATCTATAGAATTTTAGGGTAATTTCATGACTTTCTGAGGTATTACTGGGATTATTGGTCGAGAAATTGGCCAAATTAAGGCTATAGATGGCTGAAGCGATATATTCTTGCACGTGCTATGAACTATTTAAACATTTTGATCTTCTCCGTTTATTACCTTTAAGGCAAATGCGCCCCTCTCTTCTTCCAGGCTCTGCTTCTCAATGGGCACAAGCTTTCAGTTTGGGCTTTGGCTGCTATTGAATCGTCTCCTGGCTACTACCTCACGGGAAGTGCAGATAAAACCATTAAGTTATGGCGAGATGATAACGAAGTCAGAACGTATACAGGTGTGTTACCTGACTGTCTACTTTATCCGCGGGGTATTAGACAATTGCGCAAATACTATGAAGAGTCTTCACTTCATGCGAGTGAGCCATGAAATATTTATAAATGCTTTCTAAAATGCGATCAACTTTAGCCTTTCTGTCCGTTTGTAATTTCTGCTTTTTTTCCTTTTTCAATCATACCACTACGATGTCGTCGTTTTCTACTTTTGAATAAGGACAAAATCTCATTCACCTCTTTGAACAATTCTATATTTTAGGGCATACTGATGTTGTTCGAGCTCTGCTTGTGATTTCTGATGATCGATTCCTCTCAGCTGGTAATGATTCCACAATACGCATGTGGCATACTGAAACTGGCGTTTGTCTTGCTACTTATACTTCTCTCGTCGACACTTTTATATTTTGGTCAGCATTTTATTCACAATCTCTTTATAGTATTGGCATAAGCTCGAAGTTATTATATTCTTCATTCTCTCATGTATTCGGTTACCCCTTCACTATTTTTTGTCACTGCAATTTAACACTGTAGTAACTTTTGATTTTTTAAAGGAGTCTAAAATATAATGTTCAAAAGTTGCCGCAGAGCCAGCTCTCTGTGTAGGCGACCAGGATTTAAAGTGTGAGAATTATTTCGACGTATAGTTGTTCGATTAGAGAACGAAAGCAACAAATGAATCGAAATATAGTGCTGCAAAATATGAACTTTCTTGTGGTTCAGCCGATCCACGGTTCACCTCTATATAAGTCCAATTTCAGCTTGACCTTGGTTGACTCAAATATTATCTCGTGCAGCGAAGGTGGTCACGTCGAAGTTTGGAAACCTTTGACTGTTGAAGAACAGCATAGGTAATGCTCTCAAAAAGGTTTGGTGTAGGAAGAATGGTGAGGTATACTTTTTCAGCTTGGTTCATAACCAGATTGTGCAGTTGCCGGCACTAACGGCTTGGGCAGTCAAAGGCCTTCCGAATGGTGACGTTGCATGTGCTACAAGGTTGTTTACTCTTTACGGATTCTTCTTTTTAAACCGTTGATTTAACCTTTTTAGCTTTTGGTTTTTTTATCTTTATTTTTCTTTTTTATAACGAGAAAGTTAGTGAGCTGATCTGTTTTTTCCTCATTTCCTATTTCGTCGGCTACCACTGGTCTTTCCCTATTTTAGTGATGGCCGTATATACGTGTTGACACAAGAAGCAAATAGAAAAGCGTCAGCTGCTGTTCTCACTGTCTTTGATGATGCTGTAGCGGCTAAAATCGCAAAGGAGCTTGAGCGAAAAGAACAACAGGTGGTTACTAGTCATCAAAATGCATTTTTGTCTTGATGTTTTGATAACTGCTGTGTGAGTACTAATAAGCTATTGCATATAAACCATTAAGAAAGCGATGGCAAGCGGGGTTTCGGTAGTGTAGGGGATAGAGCACGGTGCACGGAAAGCTCAAAACGGGTTCGAGTCCCGCCCGAAACTGAGATTTTGTCCGCAAATGATCAGCCTTGTGATACATTTTTTGTGTTTTTAGTCATTTGCTTTTGACAACTTAATGCTGTCATACGTTCTCGTGCAAGTTAAATTTTCAACTTCTCACTTTGTTTGGTTTTGTGGTTAAAAGTTTAGACAAATATCTGGAAAGTAGCATAGTTGTTGATATCCTTGATCTTTGATCCTCAAAAAATGATTGATAATCTTCGAAAAAGCTTTGCTGACGCTACCAATATGGAAGTCATAGCAAGTGTTACAGGCAAATGAAACAGTTGTTATCAAAGTTTCTCTTGATGATGGTGCACCTAATATGGAGCTTCGCTACACAAAAGGAACGGATCCAACTTTGGCTGCCGAAAAGTTCATTAAGGTCAGATTCTCGTTCGCAGCTTGTGCGAATAAGTAACGGTTTTTTCAATTCGAATTTTTTTCACTTTTTTGCTATGAGTAGGTGTTATTATTTTTTAAATTGATCATCACCGTTTAAGGATTACAACCTGCCAGCATCGTATTTAAATGAAATTACGGATTATATCGTGGCGCACGTTCCAGAAGCAGCCGCTGCTGCACGAAAAAAGCACAAAGTGCAACCTACTCAACGGGTTACGGTAGACGGGAAGGTACGTTCATTTCCTGAACACTACATACTCAATATGTTCACTTACTTGTATACGTACGATTTTCTTTGAACCAAGTGAGAAAGGGCCCATTGACCTTTGCTTTTCTTGATTAAATTCATCTCTACACCGCTGAATATAGCTTACTATTTCATGCTCTGAGTTGAAAAGAGGTTTCGTCGTTCATAGCGCTTTTTATGGCTTCATTACCCTTCTTTTCTACTTCTATGAATAAAATACTTTTGTAACAGGAATATGACTATGTCTTCGACGTCACTGTGGATGATGGACGTAAGCTTCGACTTCCATTCAACTTGGATGAGGATCCAGATGTGGCAGCTCAACGATTTGTTGAAAAACACAATTTGCCTGTTTCTTTCCTAGCCAAGGTTTTTCTTGCTTTCTGCTTGATTTTTCACTTAATCGCTCTTTCCAACGTATTACTTTAGGTATCAGGCCTACTGCGTTCTCAAACTGGTGCTTCCGCGTCCTCATCTAGTCAGCCGTTTTACGATCCATTCACAGGTGGGTGATGCTCTTTGGTCCACGGCAAGAATACCTTATCTAAATAAAACTTTGGTTTTCGTACAGGGAGCGGTCGATATATTCCTGGTCAGTCTTCTGCAACAAACTCACCAGCAACAGTTGCAGATCCTTTCACGGGCTCTGGACGATATGTGCCTGGAAACTTTGGTGATGCCCCAGCCCCAGCTGGTGGTGACCCCTTCACAGGCTCCGGAGGGTCAGTGTAGCTTTAAAAGATTGCCTTTTACTGTGATCAGAATAAGTTGTTTCAGATACAAACCTGGATCTGTTTCGGGCGATCTGATACCTAACGCTTGCCTTCCACAAGATAAAAAGAGACCTCGTGGTGAATTGGTGCCAATGTCAAATTACTATCGATTTGGAGTTGAACAGTTAAGCGCGAAGGCTCACGCGAAACTTGTTGAACTTAATGAAAATCAGCCGGTACTGAGGCTAAGCGATGCTCAGGTGAGTAATGGTAGTATTATATTCTTGACACTTGCAATCATTTTTGTTTTTAGGTTTCGGCTATAAAGCAATTAATGTCACCGGGTGGTCATACCATTGAGTATGACGTTGTGGCGGCTGCACTAGATGTTGGATTACAATGGGCAATGTGTGATTTGGTTCCGATTCTTGATGCCTTTCGGGTCGCTCTACTTCATGAGCGGCTTAATAGTTTCTTCTGTGACATGAAGGTAAGTCAAGTACGTTTACACAATTGAATTGAATGCTTGCTATTTCAAAGCGCTGTGTTGTTAAGAAGGGCTTTTGGGTTTTGTTCAACTGAGCAGCAGCTCACTGCTCACCATCACCTCCTGCCCTTTTTTTATGGTTAATTCCTGATTCTTTACCGCAGGGCGCTTTACCTGATGCGTGGCGTACAGGTCTTTTTTATAGGGGCTTTCCTTCCCACTGAGCAATTGAATCGCAACCTTTGTCGAATACTTTTGATTAAAGAAAATCGAATGGGTGTGTATGAGTATGTGACCCTATTAATTAGTCTAGTGTAAGAAGATTAGCGCACGAATAGCGAACCGCCAAGCGTCTTGATATTCTTTCATATTACCTTTTACAACACTCCGTAATTGATTCATGTGCAAGCGGTCGAGCTGTAAACGACATTCCGAGTCGTGATGTTGTTTAGGGTAAAGGCGAAAGTACCCAACAACGGCTTTGTGCACTTCTACTCAGTGAAGCTCCAGATGCCGTATGTATTCTTGTCTGCCGATCATTAGCAAATGCCTTTACTCATCCGTGTGGCCGTGAAATGCTCTGCCATGACTTCCAAAATCTATTCGCTGTAGTAGTGAAGCAGTTGACGAGCAATAAGGCTGCCCTACAAGTATGTTTCTCACTTCCATATTAACCATGTTCTTGTGGTTTGAAACTGAACGTAATTAGTTCCAATTCAGCTGGCTGCAACTTCAACGCTTGCTAACTGGAGTTTGTTGTTGTTGAACCGGTCGGAAACGGTTGCTGAGTTAGGGCCAAGGGAGGACGCGATTCGAGGTATTGTAAAGGTGAGGAAATGTGATTTAGACAATTTTGTGATTTTGAAAACACTGAAATGTTCATTTACAGGTTTGCGAAGCGATTGACTCATTTGGGTATCTCAGTCAAGATAGTTTGATTCGACTGCTACAAGCCATAGTTACTTTCATGTGGGGAGATTCGTCAGTAATCAGCGTAAGTCACCATTTTTAGTAATCTCGCTTACCAGTAAATATCTTAACTATATAAAATTGGTTTTGACCAAATGACTAAGAATCGTCTATTGGAGAGCTAAGCGGAGAATTTTAAGATGGAATTCGAAATTTTAGTTCAGTTTAAGTGGTCCGAATGTCAATGTGGTGCAAAGGACGTGTAGCACCTCAGCCTTATTTGTGGTCAAGCCTTCCTATCTCGGTTGTTTTCGAAATACCATGGTCTTCCACTTGAGCAGCCCCATTGAGAGGAGCAACCTAAAGGCTTTGGTAGAGATTTGAAGCCAAGAAGGGTGCCAGTGTATTTCAAGGTTATCATTTCCCAAGGAACACTGCAGCACTCAGTCGTGCTGTAGTCGATACAGTTGCGATTAGAGTTACACCATTCCAAAGATGTTGTAATATTAATACTCCAAGAGCATGTCTTTGCTTGCCATTACTGTCTTTTTTTGAGCAGGTTCTATACAAGAACACCTGTGCTGATCAGATATTTGCCAGTTTCTTGATTAGATCAACTTCAGCTCGCGAAGTCGAGGAATATGCTACAAATCGTGAACAGAATGAAGGATGCAGTTGTAGATGAACAAGGCAAAAACATTGCCCGGGACATTGTTGAGATGATCTATGCAATCTAAGTCTTATATCCTATGAAACACTTGTGTATTTAGACTGTATCGAAAGCTGCTTGTACACTACCGTTAACAATTTTCTTCTTTTTTCTGGTGAATAATACGGAGATATCGATAATGTGAATGTTTGAATGGAGGACAATTAATATTTATAAAAGATTATGCTTTTGTTTGTTTATGCTGTCTTGTGGAACTGAAGTTTCTCTTCTGATATATTTTCTGTTCGATTACGTTTAGTGTATAGTCGCATTACCGTTACGCATGGTTGTTAAAACCACACCCACGTGGTCTTGATTTAATATTCGATAAGTTTTTTTCGTGACTATTTTTTGTATCAGAATCTGTTTCAGTATATGGTGTGTGGTGTTTTTCAGTCAATTCTTTCTTGAATTACATGCTCCATGTCGGACGAAGAATCAAGTCCAGTCTCAGGGTTAGTAGCCCTCGACGATCGGCCAAGTTCTTCTGGAACAAATCGGGCGTACATGGCTGAGGAGGTATGTGCTTTCTCCCTTCGAAGGCCAGATAGCTCGTTTCACAAACAACGGACTGTTGCATCTTGGCAGTGCACTTGACCCCTTGTGCCCCTTCTTCATACCATTTTGGAGTTTAGATTAACCTTTTGTCATGAAAAAAAAATCATAATGTCAGAAACACTAGAAAATCAGTTCTTCCAAATCCTAATGTTTTAGTATATTTTCCGATTTCTTCTTATTGCCCAGATTATCTATTTCTAGAATTTTATTGCAGTTCTCCCGGTCATTACTGGGATCAGTAGAGAAATTTCACTTGCATGCAAAGCACCGTCAGTCCAGCGCACATGTGGTTAATGTGCTAAATCTTATGGAAATTGGTGGCGCCTCTGGTTCGTCTAAAATCGACTATTGCGTTCTTCGTGCTTTGATTCGTTCGGTTAGTTGGTTTAAATTCGAATGTTCACTTTCGTTGGATTTTCTTCTTTTTTTTATTCTTTCATGATTTTTCTTCTTCTTTCCAAATTATAGAAGGACTTTTCTTCTTTGATGTTGTTCTCTTGGGACTTATCATTCCTCATCATTCTCTTTTTTCAGAAAAAGAGGAAATATTCACCTACAGAAACTTTTCGAATACGTGGCCTGGCCACTTACTCATGGTACGTTAGTATCAGCTGTTTTCTATGTATTTTGAAATGTCCTGTTTTTTTTTTCAAGCCTGTGTATAACGGTGGGGCTGGCTTTAATATACTTCTTCTTTTTTTGTTTTACTATCGAGCAGAGAAACTTTCTTCAGTACGAGGTGCTACTTAACGGGAGTATGAAGTTATGATGAAACGAAAATTAGAATCAATCTTGCTATTTTATCTATAAATTCGCTTCGATATGGTTCAGTTGTCTTAAATTCGTTCAAATTCAAGTGTAGAACGTCAGAAATAGCTATCTTAATGCAGCTTAGAGAGTTATGTGATTTAGTCGACGGCTTGTAATGCCATCGTGTCATCAACTGGTCTCCATGGATTCGCTAAGCACTATCTCTATATTAGGATTGGATTTTTCGGAGAGAATAATTAGCACTTTGATGGTCGAGTCTCAGCCACCAAGAGAAGTGAGTTTATTCAAAAGGAACTTTACACTGACAAGATTTGGGTTATGATCTCGTTTGTTTTTGTTCTTGTTTTTGTTTTTCTACTTGGTACAGATGGAGGTAGAGTGCAGATATCAAGATGTGTGTGAAATTTTCTTGCACGCGTCGATCCCTCTTCGGGATGCGCCTTCATGTTACTTCCATTCAAGGTAGTTAAAGTTGTATGCGTATCTCACTTTTACAGAGTCTCTAGAGTAATGCCATGTACAAGCCAACGCTCATTCTCCCCCTAATACCACCTAACTGGCTGTAAGGGTTGGAAAACTCGGTTGGATTAACCACCGGTTAAGAATTCGATTTCTGGACCATTCATGTGGTGAAGGGCCATCCTCATCGTCCCATCTTCCATCTTCGCAACTGAGTAGTCAAGATTGCCAACAGATGAAATCTTGAGGCATCTTTTTCTAGGACGGAGCTGTTCCAAATACATTTTTACTAGTACTTTCCAATCTTGGTCGCTTGCGTTTCTGCAATCTTCATACTGGCGAGTGTCTGCACACATTCCAGTTACCTATTCGTCGATTCAAATTTAAGTAAGTTCATTTGTAGTTCTTAGAATTATTCAAAAATTGTGCAGCAATCCTATACTTGCTCATAAGCCACAGCAACTTTCTTACTGCTTTAGACATATTCATTGGAATAAAGCATTTTCTGAAGTGTGGCTGTTAGGTAGAGCCGTCCTCCCAGGAAATGACAATGGTTAGCATTTTTCTGACACCATTTTATCCTTTTTGATAATTGTCAATCCACTCAGTAACCAACTTCGAATGCATTAGATTTCATGATCGTGAATTCTTGTGGAATGTGTTTTAATGAAAGTCTGAAAGATTGTATGCCCTTTGCAGGATCCGAGCGAACTGGTCCTAGCCCATCTATTGCAGTTTTCGAGATTCAACCTGCTCGTTTTAAAGCGTTGCTGCAGTTGGATAAAAATGTGAGTTATTCCTCAGTATATCTTTTGGAAATTCGTGCCAGATTAGTGTTCCGCCATGCTCCGTGTCATTTATTAATTTCTATTGCCTTTAAGGTGTTTCATAACATACATGCAGCAGGACTTGAAGACGATGTGCTAGTGACTTTCAATAGCTCACCACATAGCTGTACCTTATACAGCTTCGATGAGATATATAGAAATGTTGGAGTTCTATTTTATTTATTTTCAGTTTTATTTTTCAAACCTATATTATCGTAGTGCTTGCGTATTTGGAGTTTATTTTCACGCCGTTACAGCACTGTACACGTGTATATGATCCGTTGAAAGAAGCTGGGCAGTGTGGGGATATCTGTTTTAACGTCAAACTCTACGATAGGCCTAAGCAGTTGTTGGATGTGAAAGGTGAGTAGTGTTCAAAAATACACAGTTTTATGTCACACCTAATATCCGGGAATGGAGGTAGGTGCTTGTGTTAATATATCCACAAAGAAGATGGCTCGTATTGCCTGGGTGGCAAGTTTTGTCAGCATGGCCCCGTAGCAACGTGTATACCGTAAACATCTGTCAAAATCTGAATAATCTAGCTGAGAGACCTGAGCAGTTATCATCTTTTGATTTCTGTAGGAGATTTTTCTGGTGTCTATTTTGGCGGCTGCTGCAAAGTAATACTATGTGAACCACAGACTCCTCGAGAAAAATACGTTCTTCAGGAGATATCAAGCAATGAAGTTGTGAGTGGCTGTTTTCGGCTTGATTTTTATGCTGATGCGGTAGTATCTCGTAGATCGTTTATTTTTTATATTTGAATCTTTCTCAGCCGCTTCTTCATGACCTCCGTCTGCTTGGACCACAGCAAGGTGTAGCTTTGGCAATAGACGGCTCAACGATGATGCTTTGCAAAGATGACTCATCTAATTTTCTACGATTCGAAGGCATTCATCTCGCTTGTTATGAAGTCGCAAGGTAAGGTTGAGGTTGTCCTACAGTTACGTTGAGGTTGTGGTAGGTATTCGCAATCGGTATGAACAGAACGTACAGACATCATGTTTTGTACGTGTAGAAGCTGCGTATTTACAACCTGCATTGTTATGTAGTTTCATTGCTAAAGAAACGGTAATGTAACTGTGATATGTAACAAAATGAAATGAGGTTGAACTTTTTTGCAACCACAATTTGTTTTCAAATCTTGGCTACAGCCCCTTACCCACCCTCCGTGGCTCATTGTCCCGCTAGGATGAGCAAGATTGTAGTTAGTAGAATATAATTTTGATTTTGATCTTTTCACAGCATGTTGACGGAACCAAAACGAAGCGAAGTACGTGTTCGATGGCGTACAGCATTACTCCCAATGCGGCGTTCAGTCACCGATGGGCAGTGAGTTTACGCATTGTTAACACATGATACTTTCTTGATTCTTTTTTGAATATACTATACTTTTCTCGGACTTTATGGCAAAAATTTCGCCATGGCTACGAAAATAGGGGGCCACAGTTTATTTCGTTGAAGCAAACTTGTCAATTCAAATGGTGATAAGTTGGAGTTAGGAAGTGTGCTGGTTAACATCTTTGCTTTAGATGGGTGACTGGCCCGATCTATCGTGATTCGGTGAAAACAAAATTTGGAAGAACATCTCGTGCAACAGTTACTGTGCCCGTCGTTGATAACATGCCAGTGGTAAGATTTCTCTTATTTTTATCCCATTGATATTTGTTTGGACCTAATGGAGTTTCCTCTCAGCGTGTTTTGAAGACAACGTATGATGGAATAACTGATTTGATTCATCTGCTGACTCTTTACGACATTGCAAATATGGACGCTTGCACTTCCGTTGGCGCTGAGCCTGATCCAGATTGGATTTCTCTTGTCATTAGTATTCGTGGAGTTACGGGAGAAATCTACAAAATAACTCCCGTCAGAAGTATTGATGTGGTGAGTAATTAAGATATCTTATTGTCACCAAAGAGGAGAACGTGGCGTTGTACAATCATTGCGACTCATAATTTCCTTGACGTTTTCATTTTTCCCTTCTGGAACTTATTTATTTGGATCTTAGTTCTGTTGAAACTAGTTGCTTGCTATTTCATATCACGGGCTATGATCAGTGCGAATGCTGTCGGCTGGGATAGAGTTTATTTTCTGGTTTGTCTCATATGTGCCATTCAGAAACATTAGACCAGAGTATCATAAGGCTGCTAAAAATGGCTGCTTGTAACTTATTTTGGTTTATTTCAAAATTTTTCTATAACAGTTGTAATAATAGTTGTGGTAGTTGTTCTCGTGAGTTCCGCGGTTTCCAGGATACCATGAGAAAAGTGGATCTTGTTGCTGATGGTGAAATTATGGTACTCATATGTTATGATGGGAAAAATACTATCGCCGAGATGTATCGCTTGACTGAAGAAGACGCTAAGAACTGGCATCCAGAAGTTCCCACGGTTAGGTTTGTTGTCGAAGGACTCGCGTATGGTGCTTAACCAGCGATAACTTACTAAGTGTTATCTTTTTTGAGCAAACTTTCACTTTCAAACAGTCTGATTTTCAAGTCGATACCCTGATTTTGAGAAGATGGTGGAACTGGGCTGACGGATTTGCTAGGAATTTAATCTACTAATATTTTTCATATTTTTATTAATTTTCGTTTCGACAAAAGTCAGACCATCAAGCACGTAAGAACTGGGTCGTAGGTTTTGTGTCAGAATGCCAATTGAGGTCAGGAATGGTTGGAATATTGGCTGCTTTCAGACTTCAACAATTCATCCGTCCGTCTGGCGCGTTGCGTGCGTGCGACGACGGCCCTAACCACTTGTTGACACGTGATCCAGTAATTCAGTGTTGTGAACGAGTGGCTAGGGCCGCCGTCGCACGCACGCAACGCGCCGGATGGACGGACGCCTAAGTCTGAAAGCAGCCATTACGCTAGTATACTATGCGTACCCAGTCAATGGCAAACAAACCGTCGACATCAGTAAAATGAGTTATATATTTGACAATAGCGTGAAATCTATTGAAAGCAACAATGATAGTTGATGTCATAGCATTCGAAACCTCTGTTATTTATCAAAAGGAATAATTGGAAATAAGGTAAACAGCAAATATGTTGATCGCCGTATCGTATAGAAGTACAGAGCAATGTTCAGTGATCAGTTAAGAACACCGTTGTTTTATCTTCAGGTGCTCTTTGTTTGAACTTTAGGTGATAGCTGTCATGGATTTTCCCTTTTTTGATTACTCAGTATTTTTTATGAACTTTTGTTCAGGTAGAGTCAGTTCCTGACTACACACCATCAGTACTGAGCCGCAAACAAAGAAGAAAGCAACGAGCAGGGCGTGCTCCGGAAATACATGATTTTCGTATACTCTGAAGACTTTTCTGTGAAATTCTTTTGTTCTGATAGTATTTCTGCCCTTGATTGAATTTGCATGACATTTTGTCGCGTCCATTAGGATTGAGTTGTTACCCCAATTAGACCAAGTGCAAAATCTATCTGAAATAGAAAACCTTCGCAATAGATGGTGATTGAGCGTGCGGTCGCGGGGCGTCCGATTTTGTTGGTGCGATTGTATTTAATGGAAATGCACTCGCACCGCGCTGCACTGTTTCATGTGTATCTCTTCTTGTTATTTACGGGTGTAATTTGTTATCAGTCTTTTTTGTTGATTTTTTCTTGTACATAAAATTGTGTAATCGCGAGGAAATATATGGCACTTCTGATAACTGAAATTAATGGTGGGCAAAACATCCCGGTACTGCAAATGATTCATCTAGTTAACAACGTTTTTGTTTTTTTCCCAGACTGTAAATAATGAGATGGTGAGGCTTGTTAGCCCTCCTCTGTGGTCTACCGCTTAGTGTGAGAGACGCAGGGTACCCCTTCCCAACTACATTTTCACCGAGATGAAATTGAAAAAAAATGCGATTGGCTTGTTGCTAGCTGATATTTGGTTGCAGTCAGTA